AGCAAAAGACACAAAAAACACCAACCCACACCGCCCACTCCGCCACAGAGACCACTCCGGTCCATTGCCGATAATCGGCAAAAACAAGTTAAGCTCGAAAATTTTCTTGGCCAGACAGAAAATTGTGCTGCAAAATGTTTTTACTGCTTTTGACTGACAAGCCTGGATGAGTTTTCTTTGCTATTTATTTTTTAATAGCTCCTGCACATTGAAAATGAGTTTCAAGTAAAAGGGTATGCTGCGGCTGTAAATGGCGGGCATAGCCGACCTGTCCGAATATGTGCAAGTGTCTGCCTGTGAATCGTAGAACATTTTTGAGCTCAAGACATTAAATCAAGATTTTAGCATTTTATCGAGCCTCATACTCGATACATATCGATAAGCAGCTCTTCGTATGCGACAAAAATGATAAAAGAATATATATAAAATAGAGATCTAATGGCTATTTGAAGCTTTTTGCAGGGTATGTTCTACTCGTGCTCCTCTTACTCTTACTTGATTTTTTTGAAACTTTAATTTTTATATTTTGTTGAAAATCACGATGCTCGCTTCTATTAAAATGCTGTCAATTGCCAAGTTGGAAAGCATGAAAAAATTTCCGTCGCGTATTAAGTAAAACGTAAAAAAGTATCGCAAATGTTTTGGACGCCTGTCAATTGCCCATTCTATTTACATCTTTTTCAGCTGCTCAAGGCATTTAAACTATTTTAAATGAATTCATTTAAGTTTCACTTCAACTTTTCTCAAAATATGCACAAAAGCTGTACGCACGCGTAAAATAATTATAAATAGTACATGAACAAGTGTAAACAGAGTACAGAAAGCTGGAAATACTGGACAAGTGTTAAACAATTGCAAAGTGCTTCAATTTGTTAGCTTAAGAACACATATTTTTGAAAGACCATCAATGGCAGGACATTGCCATTTTACGGTCTTTTTAAAGGCATACTTAACATTCTAATTTATTGAATTGGACGCAATCCTTTCTAAATTTATACAACCTTCTTGTAAATGTTATGGCACACACACAAGTGCACGACAATTAACATTATAGTATGCTGTTTAAATAAATGGCCAACAAATTAGCCAACCATATCTCTGCCCCAGCCCACCCCCCTAGACCCACGCTCCTTGCTGACAAGCTGTGACAAATTAATAAAAACGCAAAATCAAAACGTTCAGATCATTAAAAGTATTTATGAGCTACGCAAATGTTTGTTGCTGCCTCGTGTCTGGCCTGGGTGGGGGGAGGGGGGTTCGGTACACTAAAAAGAGTACGAAAAATTTAATGCGAATTTATTTATTATTGTGCATAAAGTGCATAAAGTCTGACGAGCAGCATGGAACGTGCCCGGCAAATGGGAAATGGAAATGGCATTGTCAGTAGCCATAAAATTATAAGAATAAGTGAGTGCGGGGAAACTCGACGAAACTGGGGGAAACTGTGAAAAGCTCGTAAGACAAAGCCTACAAAATGGGCGGTTGCCTGGCAGATTCGTGCGGCTCATAAAAATGGTCAAACAACAAGACGCAAGACTCTGAATCAAACACATGCCATATACATATATCTATATATATATATATGTACATATGTGTGTATATAGTTAAATATATATTTTTGAGGCGTGGCAGGCAGCACATAAAAATGTTTTTGCTAAAGAAAAATTCGCGCGTGTTTTTTTTTTGTTTTTTGTTTTTTTGGTTTTTGGCATAAACATTTTTATAGCCTCGGGAGCGGGAAACGAACGTTGAAAATGCATTTGAAATTGTCATAAATTCGTATTAATTTGAGGCCGCGCGTAGATTTTATGTGCGAGGCACAAGTTTGTGCTCGTCCCCGCCCCCTTTCGAAGGTTCGTCGGTTTGTTTGGCTTTGTTTTTAGTCCCTGTTTAGTCGCTGTTTATCTTTGTGGGTCTTGGCTTTGCCAACATCCCACACACACACACACACACACACACACACAGACGCACACACAGTCATGTGAGCCAGAGCCCATTTCAAATTTAACGGCCATTTTGTGCTTTCTTTCGGTTCCTTTTTTTAATTGCCCACACACATCATGCAATGCATTGTCCAGTCTCGGGGCTTATGAGTAATGTTTATTGTTGTATTTTTTTTTTATGGCGATGCCATTTTGTTTTCAGCATTAAGTGATAAGTTTAATGAGTTTTACTTTCGGATTTATGAGTGGTATTTTAGCATTTTGCGGTGTTAGATTACTCACCTAATCAATGATGCGCTCACAAGCTGTTTATTTGATTGCTTTAAGTAACAAAATTACCGCAATTCAAGATATTTGGGAATTAAACAAAACCTCTGAATAAATAAGCCCAGATTTAAATAGACTCACAAAATGATTTTTTAACAGAACTTCTCATTATAGCAGAGACTTCATCTGAATGGAAAGAGATTACAAAAGCAAAAAAAGTGAAAACAGAGAGAGAGAGAGAGAGAGAGAAAGAAAGAGTCAGAACAAACGAAGAAGTAAGCGATCAACAGAGTGCAGAGAGACTAAATGAGAAAATATACCTTTATACATAAGGAAAACTGTTATTTTACAGACATTTTATTTGACTGTTATTGTGCGAACTCTGTTAAGAAATAAAGAGACAGGCAATTGCACATTAACTTTAAGAAGCAGTTACATTTTGAATATATTAAGCAGTTACAAGGAACATCAAGGATCCTGAGAATCGCATGGCAAGGCGATCCGCACTTAAGAAGAAAAGGACAATATGAATTGCGTACCAAGTGGGCGCAACCCACACCCACACAGACACACATACACACACACACACAATCACTCAAGTAGGCACATAATTGCCATTTGCCGCATGACAACGCAATAAACATTTTGACAGAGTTTTTGGCAGCCACGCACACACAGGCACGCGCAACAATGCAAAAACTTTAGTTTGACTTTTAAGTGCATACGAAAAACGAAAAACAATAACAATCAACAAAGAAGAAGAGCTGTTAACTGTGGCACACCGATGTTTTAATACCCTTGTCGGCATAAAGCACACAATGGCTCTTATATAATTGCTTAAGTTGCAACCTTTATTGTAGAATAAAACATTTATAAACTAAGAAATACATTTTCTCTACATATTTCAACGCGAATGTACGTGCACACATATATACATACATATACAGTTACATAACGTTAACTAATTACCGCAACTTTTTGGTACTCACTTTTTCTCTACTGCTCTCTCTCTCTCTCTCGCTGCATGTGATTTGGTTAGATCCGAAGTGCGCCAAAAAGAAAAAGCTTTGCGCCAAAACTGCAGCGAGTGCACATTTTAACACATTTATTAAACAACAAAGCGCGCAGAATAAGTGGAGCACTATTACACATGACAATTGATACGAACTAAACGCGTTTAACACAATAACAATTATATAACACTATTAATTTGGGTTTTAAATCGATTTAATACACACGCGCACGGAAAACGACCGATCAAAGGAGATGATGCGCACAAACTAAAATCTGCTCCGTTTTGCGCTCACACCAAAGCCGGGTAACGGGATCAAAAGCATTACGATATTGTGCTTAGATAATTAAGTCACCAACCACAGTGCCCGCACCCTCGCTCTTTCGTTCAGATGCAGCCGGTAGGCCATAACATGAAAGTCAACGAATCTACGATCCAAAATGTCCGTTTTCGGATTTTCTAAAAATGTACAATATCCACTAGAAGGGTATGCAAAAATAGGAATGAAAATGTGAACCGCTTGCCATGTGCAAATTGTAAATGTTTCATAATAATTTCGCAGCAAATTCTTCTTGCGCAGTTGTTAGCCATGCGAATTATGTGGGACAACAACAACAACAATAATCTGACGCCTTTGCGAGAAGCGGAAATGTTAACAACAACGTTTCGGGGTTTTGCAAAGCAGTCAACAGAGGGCGCTGTGCGGTGCGGAGAGCGGGCCTGACAGCATACAATGACAGGAAGTGCATAGTTGGGCAACTGCCGCGCTCTCTTTGCGCTCTCTTTGTCGTTGTTGTTGTTGTTGTTGTTGCTTTTTTTTAGTATTTGCGGTTAGAATTTCGCACAGGAAGTGCCAAAAATATTTTTTAAGAGCAACAACAACAAAAGTGCTGTACAAAAAATGCATATAAATAATTAAATTAACTAGAAGGGTTTATTTTTTTCGAGCAAATGCGGCGAACGAAAAGGAAAAGCTCAACTCCCCCCTTCTTTCACGGTCTCTTTATACCGCACCCCGCCCCTCTGCCCTCACCAACCCGCAGCTGAGCCGGTGAGTTGGCCATTTGTCGCAGCTCTTGTTGTCTTTTGTTGTCAACGGATGCTGGGAAAAATGTAAATTTTCATTTATGCCAGACAGCCGTAATTTAGTTTTGCGTATTATTTTTGCTTATTTCGGTTTACCAAACGGATTAGGTGCGTTTATTAAGGTTGTGCCAGATAACAAACGGAGTAAGCAACATTTTGTTGTGCTTCAAGCTCATCCTGGCATGGATACATTTTTAAATTCAAGTTTTATTTTCATTATTATTAACTTGTGTTATGTTTTTAAAACTCTCCTCAAAAATTATTATTTATTACTTTATCCAAACTAATTTTAAATATTGTCCCAATTTTAACGGATTTTGGTCGAAACGTTCTCTGCCGGCCAATGTGTGAACTATTATATTTTAGACAAAACAAGTTAGCTAAACTTAACGAAAGTTTGCTCCTGTGATTCGTTAGGATTATCTCATAGAATTATCTGTATCTTTATAAATTGCAAATTTTAAATATTTAAAGACGGAAAGCATATTTAAATTCCTTAACAAGTACTTATATATATTCCATAAGTAAGTTATATATGATTTATTGCATTTTAGTTCATTCGTGAGGTTCATAATAAAATATCATGGACAAGAACCACTGCGCGCCAGCTTCGTTAGGACTAAGTTGCGCTTAGTTCAGTTTCTTTAGCGTTCTGTTGGTATTTATATAATGCATTTTTGGGATTTTATACATACCACATCTACGGTCACACTGCACTTGCAGTGCAATTTTCTGAAGTACATTCTGCGAAAAACGTTTCCAAATTACAAATAAACTGAGCAGGCTAAACAAAACGACACAATGGAGGCCGTGCCGCGTCTGCACATGCTATGGTTTGCCCTCAAATCCAGCCCGGAGGGCACATCGTTCGCAGCCCTAAAAAAGGTGGGTTGCAACGAGACAATTACGACAAAGACCCAACGGCGACGGTCGACGAACTTACCAATTAAGTGTGTAGGTGGTTGCTGGCGGGGAGGGGGCAGCACCTGCGACGCAAGCTGATCCGCAAAATGTTAAGCTTTACGACAACATGCCGCCCGCCTGCTCTCCCGTGTGGTGCTTGTAAATTATTCCCTAAGGCTGAGTCATCGTAATTGATGTAGTTGAAAATTGCAAAACAAACAATGAGCCATTGTTCACTCTCTCTCTCTCTCTCTCTCACACACTCTCTTTTGCTCTTCTCGCATGCAGTACATAGCCGAATTCTATCACGAAGATCCGGAGGCCTTTTCCAAGGAGGTGCACGCTTTGGAAACGCTGCGCAACCAGGCGATGCGCACCACCAAAGACGGCGCTCCAATTATGAAGCGCTACTATTGCCAGCTGCATGCGCTGCAGAACCGCTTTCCGCAGCTGGCGGAGCGCAGCATCTTTACGTTCACCTGGAAGGATCTCTATCACAGCACCGTGCACGAGGTGAGCGACATACGCTACGAACGTGCCGCTGTACTCTTCAATATTGCCGCCTCGCACACACAGTCGGGCGCTTCGGTGACGCGCGGCGATGTCGATGGCATGAAAATGGCCTGCACACATTTTCAGGTGGGTTCATGTGCTCCGAGTGTACAACTGCATTCTAAAGCTCACAATTTCAGGCCGCTGCATGGGCCTATAACGAGCTGCGGGAACGCTATGCGAATGTCAACAGTGGCGGTGATTTTATGACCACCGAACTGTTGGTCTTCCAGCAGCAGGTTTGCCTTGCTCAGGCACAGGAATGTATACTGGAAAAGTCGCTAATTGATAACCGGAAGCCGCACATTGTGGCCAAGGTGACGGCACAAATTGTTGTCTACTATGGCGCAGCTCTGGCGGCGCTGCTAACCGGCGGCGACGATGGACCCGTTGCTCAGGTGATCGATAGCTCCGTCTACAAGCTATGGAAGAAATATGTCAAATTCAAGATAAACTATCTGCACTGCATATTGTACTTGTATCAGGGACAACAAGCTGAGGAGCAGCGCAAAATGGGCGAACGTCTGACGCTCTACCAGGTAAGTTGCTGGTAATTATGGTTTAAGCACAGGAATCTCTGACATAATGCCATGCTTAGGCGGCCTGGGACAAACTGGAGGAGGCACGCAAAGAGTCCAAGGGCCTGCCAGACCAAAAGGAAATCAACGAGTCCCTCAGCTTCACCGCCGATGTGGTCGAGGGCAAGCGCAAGAATGCCAAAAACGAAAACGAGTTCATCTACCATGAGGCTGTGCCAGAGCTGACCACCATTGCAGCTGTGCAGGGCGCCAATCTGGTAAATGGCATTGGGTTTTCCGTAACGGATGAGGAGGTTGCAGGCGCCGATATATTTGCGCGATTGGTGCCCATGAAGGCGCACGAGGCCAGCTCCATGTACAGCGAGGAGAAGGCGAAATTGCTGCGGAAATATGGCGCATTGCTGGAGGAGAAGGACACACAGCTGGATAGCTACATGAGCTCGCTAACCTTGGACAATCTCAACATAAACGAGGAGCAGGCCAACAAGCTGCCCCAGGGCATTGTCGATCGCTGTGCGGCGCTGCATGCCAACAAAACAGCCATCAGCGATCTGATCGAGGCCATGTCCCAGCTGGCAGAGATCACAGCCGATGTGGAGACCAATCTAAGTGAGCTAACGCACATGCTCGAGGCGGAAGCCCAAGCGGAGCGCGAATTTCAAGCAGCCAGCGGCGTGCAGCGTACACCCAATGCCCACATTACGGAATTGACGCGCGAGTTCCAGAAATACAGCGAAGCGCACGCCAGGGCAGGCGAGTCCAACAATACGCTGCGCAAGGCCATGAGTTTGCATGTGAATAATCTAAAGATCCTGGCGCGTCCACTGCAGGAAATACAACAGCTGATGCCCAAGCTCAGCTCGGAGCTGAACACCACAGAGATTTTCAAGGATGTCAAATTGATTGTGAACAAGGTGAATGAGATGAAGGCGCAGCGCGCACAATTCCATGCGGATCTGCGCATTGCCATCAATGAGGATGACATCACGACCAAGGTGATTGCCCATGGCGGCCAGGAGGGCCTGCAGGTGCTCTTCGCCACCGAGCTGGCCAAGCACGATCGCCTCACCCAGCTGCTCGATCAGAATATGCTGGCCCAACAAAATATATTGCAGGCCCTGACAGAGGCGTATGCGCGTGCCGCACCCGTGTTAAAAACGCTGCAGGATGTTAAACAAAAGCGCGAGCATTTTTACAGCTCGCTGGCTGCCTCCTATGATGTGTATGAGGATCTGCTGGCCAAGTCGGCCAAGGGTCTGGAGTTCTACAAGAAGCTAGCGGGCAATGTGCAAAAACTCTTGACACGCTTCAAGTCCGCACGCGATGTCCAATCCGAGGAGCGACAGCAGCGTCTGCAGAGCGTCAAAGCGGCGCCAGCTGCTGCCGCAATGCCCGCTGTCAGCAAGCCAGAAATTGTGTCCACTGCCACCAGCGGCGCGCCCAAACTACGTGATTATCTGAAGGCTAAACAAAATGGCATTGCCGCAGCTACACTGGATGCCGCAGCCTATCTGCCCACTGTGCGCCCGGTTCCGGTGGGCTCTGAGAATCCCACGCAGGCCGCCTGCTCTGTTTATGCTAGCGCACCGCCGCCCAATGAGCCGCCGCCGCCCTACAGCCTGCAGCAGCAGCAATACTACGATCCCAATGCCGCGGGCTATACCAATCCAATGTATCAGCAACAGCAGCAGCACATTGCGCCGCCCGCCTACAAGGCGCAAGCCTCGCCCAACTCACAAACGCTGCATGGCGCCATGGCACAACTCAGCATGCAACAGCAGCAACAGCAGCAGCAGCAGCAACATCAGTTGCCCCCGGCGGAGCCAGCCGCAGCTTATGGCCAGCAATCACAATTGGGCTATGGCTACAATTATCCACTGGCGTATCCAGCGCCTGCAGCCTCACCTGCTCAACAGAACTACAACTACCAGCAGCCGCTCTATGTGGCCACATCCGCGCAGCCCAGCGAGCCTTTGAGCTATTCACAGCCACAGCAGTTGGGATATGCCCAGCAGCAGACGACACAGCAGCCCCTGGCCCATCAACAAGCCAATGCTGCACAGGCTTATCCGCCAGCTGTGACTGCTACCCAGCAGGCATCCAGTTTTATGTATCCGCAGCCAGCTGCTGCGGCATACGGTCAGCAGGCACAGGCAGTGCCACAGCAGCCAGCCCAATCTCAGACACCCCAACCAGCTGGCAGTTATTCCCAATCGCAGACGCCCCAACAAGCAGCCAGTTATGCTCAAGCCCAAACTCCGCAGCAGCAGCCAACTGCGGCCTATTCTGCTGCGCCTCAGCCTACAGCCTATGGTCAGCCTTCAAGTTTTGGCCAGCCTCAGATGCCAGCGCAGCCAGCTTTGTATCCTTCACAGGCGGTGCCATCAACGCCAGCAGCCATGCAATATCCAGTGGCCACCGCCGGCTCAGTGCCAGTTCCCAGTGTTGATACCAATTTCTTGAGCTACTCAAATCATCCTGGCTACAGCTTTAATCCACAAACGGGCATCTATGAGTACAGCAGTGGCTATCAGCATGAGAGCAACAATATTCCAAAGGTTTCGCATGGACAATTTGGCCAATTCACGCAAAGCGGACAACAGCAGGCGGCCATTGTGGGCACCACAGACTCGGAGCAAGCCAATCGCAGCAGTTTGGCCACGGGCTTTGATGTGAGTACGCACCAGATTCTAGCGAATTATTTAACTTAATCGCTTGCTAATTGTTTTGCCTTTATATAGTCGCCCATCGTTTCGCATACAAAGGCAGCAAGTGGCGCCGCCGACTCTAGTGCTCCGAGTCAGCCGGCCGAGGTGACGGGTAACTATTATACACCACCATATGGCTATCATTCGGCTGGCGGAACGCTCACACAGCAGCCACAGCCGCAGCTGCAGGCGGAGCAGCAGCCTGCAACAACAGCTGCCGCGGCGCCCATCAATCCGAAGTCCTCAATTTATATGCAGAGCGGCGGCAGCAGCATTGCCAACACCCAGACGACCACGAGCAGCGCACCCTATGCCTCATCGGCGCTGCAGAGCGAAACCAAGCCGACAACGTCCGATGTCAGCAATGTGGACTTGCTTAGCGATTTGGACTTGGACTGTGCGGGCGCGGTGCCGCCGCCGTTGCTGCAGCCACAGATTGTGGCAACACCAACGCCGCCGCCTTCCGTGGCTGCGAGCGATTGTGCCGTGGATGCCGTTGCCGGCACACCCACAGCTGCTGCAATCTCGCCGATGGCCTCGCCTTCAGTGTCAGCGGCTGCAGCGCTGCGTAAAAATAGTATTGACAATCTTTCCAATTGCTCAGATTTGAGCTCGCTGGAGAACTTTGACTGGGATTCGGTTTCATTGACACATTCCGCCAGCGAAAAGCAACAGGCAACAAATGGACATCCTCTAATTGCATTCCAAATGCGCGCTCACGATCCGTTCGGCGATGATAAGACGCTCAAATACTTCCACAAGGAGGTGGAGAGCTACGAGAAGCTCGTTGAGAATTTACATGTCAAAATGTTAAATGGCAATACCCAGCTGGGCAGCAAATGGTTGGAGTTGCAGCAGAAGCTGGATAAGGACACCATCGTGAAACGCACGACGACCATAGCAAAGCTGTTTCCCGAGAAGAATCGCTCACTGGACTGTCTGCCCTACGATCATGCGCGCGTCAAGCTGGACAAGCAGACGGATGACTATATCAATGCGGCTTACATGAAGGTGAGTCTTGTGTGTTGTACTTTTCCTAACTCTTAATTATGATCTACACTCGATAGTGCCTCAGCGCTGGTTGTCCAAACATTATCGTATCACAAACTCCGCAAGCGAACACCATCAACGATTTCTGGTCCATGATTTGGTCAGAAAAGTCTCGCACTGTAGTTTGCCTGCACACCACCAATGAGGTAGGTGAAACATTTAACTCATTGCTGTTTTCCAATTTAACCAGACACATTTCTTTATTGGCAGCTCTTTGATCCCTATTGGCCGCAGTTGCTCAACCAGTCCACACACTACGACGACTATACTGTGAACTGTGTAAAGCTGCAGCAGCTCAGCCACTGCACGGAGTACCAACTGAAGCTATCGATGCATGGCGCCGATGCTATTCTGGACCTGTCGCTGCTGCAGCTCAAGCAATGGACCAAAGCGTAACTAAATCAAAAATGTGTTGCCTTTTGTCATGTAAATAATATTCCTAACTTTGCTTGTAGTTCGCCCACTCAATTGCTGGGCATAGCGCAGAATGCGCTGCAGACGCATCAGCAGCGTTGTCTGGCCGCCAATGCGCCCACATCACCGCTCATTTTGAACTGTTTGACGGGCTCCGAGCGCTCCGAGCTGGTGGCCATTGCAATTTGTGCATTGATGGGCACGCAAAACAAGCGGCCCATTTTAATAAGTGAGCATAAAAGCGTTTGCATGTTTATTGATTTGCACTAAATATTACGATTTTTATCAGATGTGGTCGATGTGTGGTCACGTATTTGCATGCAGCGACAAAATTCGCTCCGTGACGCAGCCATCCTGGAGCAGTCCATGCAAATCGTCTTGAGCAATGCTCATAATGTGCTCAACAAACGTAAGAATACGCCATTTGACTTGGGCATATGCAAAATATATAGTTAACCTTACGTTCTAGGTGGGATTATGACATCATATCAAATGAAAATGGCACCCCAGGTAACAGCCAAGGAGCAACAGGAGACCAAGGATCCATTAAACGAACTGGATGCGCTGTGGAAAATGAAATAAACGACTGACGATGCTTGCATCGCAAAGTTGCTTAATATATATATATACACACACATTTTAATCAAAATGATAATGTTTATAATATTTATACAACTATTTACTACAACTATCAACTACCTACACACACATATATACATATTTATACACGGCTCGAAGATTGTTGCAAACAATTGATGGGCGATAAAAAGAAAACATAGTATTGAATTAACAAAACATTTGAATTGTATTTGTCCTTCTATTAACTTGTTATATCAAATGTATTTCAAACTATGGTGATGTTTATTAATGCTGACTATATCTCTATATCTAAAAACGTTTATGAAACTCTATGTCATGATTTTGCGCGTATCTAACGGCAAATTGATCAATAAACGTATGCAAATAAATTAATCAATAAGTGAATTTGTTATTACGACACGCATGCAAAAGAAAGTATATTAATTTTTAAATTTTAATAAATGGAGGCTTGACCATTCAAAACATTTTAAGCATATTTAGCATAAATATAAGAATGTGGTCAAAGCTATTTAAATATCAAAGGCACGAAATTCAACTTCATTGATAAAAGCTTATTTTAATTGTTACTCAGTGCCCCATCCTCAATATGAAATCCGTAACCCAGCTATTGTTGCATTGTAATATACTTAATATTAAGAAAATTGTAATTTTTAAAATACTTCTAACTAAACGCCTTTCTTGACAGGTCAAACCAATGGATAGACGGCATTGCTGGCAATGAAGCACATGTTGTTCTGATTACGTGCCATGCGAACATATCCGTTTTCACCATAAAGATTACCCCAGGAGTTCTTGACCAACCAGTAATCCCCGCCGTGGGTGTCGTGGCCGTAGCCGACAACAAGGACTGCATGATTGGATCTTTTGTGGCAGGATTCGCGTATTACTCCTCCTCTGTAATGATGTAGATGTGTTGCCTCGATGGACACCGCAATGGGTCCCTTTGTGGCGACAGCCTCTGCCAGAGCACTTTCACAGCGCGGTCTAATCCGTACAATGCTGCTGACTGTTGCGCCTATATTACGCCCATCAAATCGACAATGGCCCTTCTTATCCTTGTAGGGATACGAGCGAGCCGTATCTATGCCATGATTCCTTTTGACATAGTATAGCGCGGTTGTGATCCGTCCACCAAAGCAGCCGTGGTTGTAATAGGGTTCGCCACTCGTACAATCCAGCAGATTCTTTTCGGAGAGCTCAACTAAGTCTCCAGTTTTGCGATAGTGCTGCCCTTCCAGAGTGCCAACTGCGGCAAAGGCCCAGCAGGAGCCACAGTGTCCCTGATCCTTTACTCTGGTAACAGCGCCTTTCTCACGCCAATCAACCGCAGACGGAATTTCGACATTGCCTGTTGGTGAGTATATAAAATCTATTTCGGTTTCATCGACAGTTGCATTGAGTCCGCCTAGGATTAATGTTTCGTATTCATGGGACAGAAGATCGGTGAATTGATTGACGCCCATCTCAAAGGTCTCCTCGCCTGCCGCATATCGTTCATTGTGCCTGTCAATGATCTCCTTGTTGTGCATAAAGATCTGCTTGCGAAGCAACTGCTCGCTGTCATTCTGATATATTTTTTCGTAATCGACTTTAAAGTTAATCCACTCCACCTCGAAAACATCTTCGCTTAATGAGACCTGCACGCAGCACACGAGGGTCAAGAACGTAACAACTGCCCTCATGTTGGAAGCCGACTAACATTAAGCTGCCCAATCACGCCCTCTATATACCCACTCCGATCGTCGGGAACAGTCACCGCCGACCTTTTATGCGGGAAACGAAAAATAGGTTTATTTATATACTCGTCCAGAGATGAAATGAAATTGTCCGCTATTGAAGCTAGAGGCTTCATGTTTGGCTACATCTGCAACCAGATTGATCCGAAGTATATAAAATTGGATAGGTAGCTTGTTTTAAGCTTTTATTGAAGTGTGACAGAGTATTCCGCAGTCAGTTGCATCCAACAAAACATGTTTAATTGTTGCTTACTTAATTATGCTGGCATCAATGGGCTGCTTTCTCTATCCAAAACTAATTCCGGGCTTGTCGTAACAATATCCTACGTATATCCTTTCTTGCATTAGTTGGCAATGAACTGGATGCCTTGGCCTCTTTGTTGGACAGCTCTCGCAGCTTAATCTCGATTAGATTTGATGGTCTCTGAATTGTTGGCTTTCTTAATTTCCAACATTCGTAACTTTTGCTTGAACGTGCCAATGTGCTGGAATAAAGACACATCGAAGTGTGGCCAATATTTGGGCATGTCTCGTTGACAATCCAGCGAATCGCTGTGGCAAAGTGTGTGTTCTATAAAGTGCAAGAGCATCGTGAGCATGGCGATATCCTTGTTGAATAATTGCATATAGGTTATCAGATAGGGCAGCTCGGCGCCTTTAAACAGCTTGCCAGCCAAGCTGGACGGACAAAAGTCCAAGACGAACCAGCTAGGTTCAAGCGGATTAGCCAAAGCCAGTTTAATGAGCGCAAATTTTCTCATGGTCGTTATAAAATCTCGCTTGGTCAATATATCGTCCTCCAGCTGCACATAGTAGGTGCCTTTGGAGTGGGCATAAGTCATTAGATATGCAATATCCAGATTCTGTTTGCTGTGCCAGCTCACATTTTCCTCAGAGTCGCGATAGTAGTCGGGCGCTGGCGCAATGATGTCAATAAGTCCGCGCGCAATATGTGCTCCGAAACTCAACTCGATTTGATGAACAATCCGCTTTATAACTGTCCCATTCGTCTCTCCAATGTAGACAATGATGAGCGTCTCGTTCTGCTCCGCCACATGCATGTGCTCTATGAGATTGTACAAAGTACTTCGCAGATACGATTGCTTCCTGCGCTGCATTGTGGGCACGCCCAGCACAATGCTAACACCAGTGCGACCCTGGCTTCTTAGATACGCAGGACGTGTGGATGCCACGATGTCCAGCAAATGTGGTGTGAAACGAAATGCCGCAGTCTTGTCTCGATTCTCAGCTGGCAGCAGGCCAGGTGCTTGGGTCAGACGCGATGCATTGCGCAGCGGCAACTGTTTGAAATTTAGTTGTGGATCCCATACGATAAGGCACAGTCGGTAAGATGCCAGTATTATTATCGTAGCAATCAATATGCAATTGCAATAACGTATTTTAAAGATACATGTCGCTTCCTCATAGCCTTGGTCTTCTATTTTTTTTTAATAAAATATTATAAGTGCACCAATTTTGGTTCATTATTGTTGTGTACTCACCTGAAAATCCTTGTGGAGCTTTGAGAGATGCTCTACTCATTTCGGTTTATTTGGACTGCCGACTGACGACGCAGCATTCGTTATCGATTCCATGACCAATCCGATCCAATGCAACACAAATTGATTGGCCATCCATCTGAACGGTCACTGAGTAAATATGATTGTTGATAACTTAGCATATCGTGGCTAGTCTATAGAAGTTCATAAAAGGAACACTTACATTGTAAATAATTACATTTTTAAGTTTTCTGCACGACAAGCTCCAAAACGTCCGCATTCCGGCGAGCTGTGGGCTACTGCAAGGTGAACTTCGGGCGCCGAATCAACTGGTCAATGAGTAAGGCCCTAATCTGCTTTCGTTCTGTTTTCAAGTAAATATATTAAGTTCTATCTAAATTGTATTCGTGTATATCTAATCGGAGTTTTAGTTATTGGGAAAATAATTTGTTTATTTTACCTATTATCTACTTCTCACTTTAGTTCCATTGCCGATTTTAGGTAAAGATTAGAACAAAATATATATTTATTTTGATTTTGGTTTCATCCACCTTCGCTTGGATGCCAAATGGAAAAGTTGCCGGTGGAGTTTAGATAATCCAAAGAATGAAAATAATAAACAAAATATATTTGTTGGGCTGCGTCAAGGCCTTTTACTTCTCACTTTTCTCGTATGCATAAAATCCAATTAATTTCTGAGCCAAAGTAGAGTCTAAATTCCGGCACATAAAGCGTTAATCTATCAAGAATGAATATTTTGTTTAGTTTCTTATCGAGTAATGCGGCAACTTGGTACAAATTCATAAAAAATAGTAAAACAGTAAGGCACGCAAATATCGATTGCTGCAATCGTCAATTAAAATCCATATAAATGAAGCCAATAATCTCACGATTACCAATATTATGACTTTGAATTTACGAGTATTTCAATAATTATTATAGCCACTTGGGATAACGTTAATATTATCGCAACGAACAAACAAGTGCGACGGACATTCTGGCATGGCTATATGCATATATAGAGTGCTCATCGAGCACCTTTCATAAATAATTTGAATTATGTTTTAAATGCTATGCCGAATCTTGCATACTCTCTGACAAGTTTGGGTGCGCTTAAGTCGCTTCCTAAAACAATTATAACGAGGAACAGACAGGTTTCTGTATATCCTCATATTAGCCATATATACTATGCTTAAACTAATAATCATGTTTAATTTTTAAATATAAAAATATTCGGATAAATTACATTTTGTCCTAGCTGGTTGACACTCCGAATTCTGATCTTTATGTTGGATATTTGATTAATAATTGTTTTTTTTTTTTTTTATAATTATGCACTTTCCATCTTGAATACAACTTTCTATATTGATTGTCGCGCAACTTTTATGAATTGATGTTATTGACAAAAACGAATTGTATCCAAGCTGGTTAAGTGCTACGATTGAAGGCTTATCATCTACTTGGAAAATGTTATGCATACTTATGTACCCCACCCATACGAGTATGTAGTTAATCCGGGCGCGTTTTCGTTATCTTTTTGGATGGCAGCGGCAGCGTTGGTTGGGGTCTAATCGCATGGTTGGGCGCATATAAAAGCTGTTGCTGCTTCGCTCTGGCCTCCAGTTCTAAATTGTAGACGTTTGTGGAAAAGCCGGAAACAATTGGGAACAATGCGGCGCCTGAGTGCCATAGTTCTTTTAGCAGCTGTGCTATTGATCAGCACAAATCAATCCCAGGCTATTTGTGGCTATGAGGTAAATGAATTAGAATTAATAACAATCGCATCCTAATCTCGCATACTTTACCTTATTATCTGAAATTGTAGTCATGTCCTGAAACCAAGCCGAATATGATCAATGTGCATTTGGTGCCACATTCGCACGACGATGTCGGCTGGCTAAAAACTGTGGATCAGTATTATTATGGAGCCAAAAACAATATACAGCACGCTGGTGTACAATATATATTGGATTCGGTGGTTGCGGAGCTCCTGAAGGATTCGAAACGCCGTTTCATACAGGTGGAGACGGCGTTCTTCTTCAAGTGGTACCAGGAACAGACGGAACAAGTTCAGGGTCTGGTCAAGAAATTGGTGAACGAGGGCCGCTTGGAGTTCATCGGTGGTGCCTGGAGCATGAACGATGAGGCCGCTGTCCATTATCAAAGCGTTATTGATCAGTTTGCACTGGGCTTAAAGTAAGGCTGGCGGGAGATGCTTAAGATTAGATAAAATAGCTAATTTTAATTGTAATTTTCAGGCTACTAAATGACACCTTTGGCTCCTGCGGACGTCCGCGCATTGGCTGGCAAATTGATCCCTTTGGTCACTCGCGTGAAATGGCATCAATTTTTGCGCAGATGGGCTACAGCGGTGAATTCTTTGCACGCATGGATCATGTTGAGAAGAGCAAGCGCATTAATGAAGTGGCCCTGGAGATGATTTGGCAAACCAGCGAGTCCCTTAGTGATTCAGACCTCTTTACCGGTCTGCTCTACCGTCACTACTCCGCACCGCCCGGCTTCTGCTTTGACATACTCTGCAGCGATGAACCCATTATCGATAGCAAGAGCTATGATAATAATGTAAAGTCCAGAGTGGATGACTTCATTAGCTATGTGAAGACAATGTCCAACTCATACCGTGCCACACATATTATGGTGCCCATGGGCGATGACTTTCAGTACGAGGATGCCGAAATCAATTACAAGAACATGGACAAGCTGATTAAGTAAGAAATACCTTATCAAGTATTCAGGAAGCATTGTAAATCGTATTGATTTCAGATATGTGAATGCGCGACAAGTGGAGGGCTCCAAGGTGAATGTGTTTTATTCAACGCCCTCGTGTTACCTCAACGAACTGCACCAAATGCAGCTGACATGGCCCGAGAAGACCCAAGATTTCTTTCCATACTCCAGTGACTCGCACTCCTATTGGACCGGCTACTTCACCTCGCGTCCCACCCAGAAGCGTTTCGAGCGGGATGGCAACCATTTGCTCCAGACGGTTAAGCAGCTGAGCGCATTCGCCAAACTGACGAGCGCACAGCAAACTGAAGATTTGGACTCGCTGCGTCAAGTTATGGGCATTATGCAGCATCACGATGCCATTACGGGCACAGAGAAACAGGCCGTGGCCAGCGACTACGATCGCCTGCTAACGGATGCCATGATCGATGCTCAGGATAACAGCCGGGATGCGCTCAGGCTGCTCACCAACCTGACCACAGGCGAGTTCGACAGCTGCTTGGAACTGAACATAAGTGTCTGTGCTTTTACCAGAGAGAGCGCCAACAATGTGGTCGTGACTCTGTTCAACCCACTCGCTCATCCCTCGTCGCAATTCGTTCGTGTGCCGGTTAAAGATGAGAACTACCTGGTCACAGATGAGAAGGGTATGTAAAAGATTTGGTATAGTTATTCAATTGATCAATTGCACCTCTTATAGGTCACGAGGTGCCCTCGGAGCTGGTACCGGTGCCATGGCAAGTCCTGTCTATACAGCACCGCTCCAACGAGACGCAGCATGAGCTGGTCTTCAAGGCAACTGTGAACAAAATTGCCAACTTCTACATACGCGTGCTGCCGGCTCCCAAAAACTCAAAGAGGCCAACTCTCAAGCGTTTCGAAAAGGTGCATTCAATAAAGCAAAAGCTGTCCAAGACGCAACCCACGGCTGATGATGACGAAACAGATGAGTTTACTGTTCAGAACTCGGTAAGTAACAGAAAGACAGAGAGACTTACATGGAACAGGGCACGAGAACGAAACCATTTAGAATATAATATGTTCCTGATCAAGAAAATATAACGAACAGAATCGCCTGGCTTTACCGATCTTCCATTTCGATTGCAGCATATCAAGCTTGTCTTCGGCAAAAGCAGCGGTCACCTTAAATCAGTCGAAATGAACGGAGTTTCGGAGAATATTGGACAGAACTTTGCCATATACAAGGGTGCGCTGGGCGACAACAGCGCCTCCGAGAAGCGTTCATCTGGAGCTTACATTTTCCGTCCGGATGGCGACATTACTGTGCTGGAGGACACGGTTGACTATACGGTTTACGATGGTGTCCAGGTGAAGGAGGTGCATCAGCACGTGAACGAGTGGATCTCACAAGTGATTCGCATCTACGAGGGCGTAAATCGTGTAGAATTCGAATGGCTAGTTGGCCCAATTCCAATCGACGATGACAATGGCCGAGAGATTGTTACCCGCTTCACAAGTGGCCTCTCCACAAATGGTGTCTTCTACACCGACTCCAATGGCCGTGAGATGATCAAGCGTGAGAGAAACAAGCGCGAATACTTTACTCCAGATTTGTCCGAATCTGTGAGCGGCAATTATTATCCCGTAACTGCTCGCATTTCCATTGAGGATGCGCAGAAACGTATTGGTTTGCTCAACGACCGCGCCCAGGGCGGCTCCAGCCTGGCGGATGGCCAGGTCGAGCTTATGCTTCATCGCCGCCTGCTAAGGGACGATGCTTTTGGTGTGGGCGAAGCCCTGAATGAGACACAGTACGGCACGGGTCTGATTGCGCGCGGTAAAGTTTTTCTCATCCTAAACGCAGCAGACGAAAAGCCCACTGTTGCCGAACGCTTGGCCCAACAGGAAATTCATTTGCCTTTCTGGAAGTTCTTCAGTAACTCCAACACGGCCAGTGTTGTGAAACCCCTGAGCGTTCCCGATTTCAGCGACTTCCCTCAATCGGTAAATCTGCTAACACTGGAACCCTATTCCAGCAATGAAATCCTATTGCGTGTTGAGAACTTTATGGATCAAAATGAGGGTCACACGGTCAGCTTCAACATTCGCCACATTTTCGATGCATTGGGTGGCCAGGAAATACGTGAAACAACCTTGGATGGCAGCATGGCGCTGACCGATTTGAAGAGATTTAAGTTCCATCACGAAGGCACTCAGGCAGAGACTGTTGAGTATATTACGTCCTCATTTGAGCCGTTGTTGGCCAATAACGCGAGCGACTCCTCCAAATTCAGTGTCACATTGAATCCTATGCAAATTCGTACATTTATCATCCACTGGCAATAGGACTTCGTCGACAATAAACAATTTAAGTAATATCAGTGTTACCACATTATTCGCCGATTATTTCAGCTAAACTACCATTTGCTTACAATGTTAGTGACATTAGCTTATTACATTTTTAGTGTAGTCTATTTTCAGAATTACTTTCCAGCGTAGTACATATTACATATATGTATTAGTACATATATTTGGAGTACTTTTCTCCTTTGAGCCAACTGTAAATGTCACAAATGTGCCGGCAAGCTACCAGATCGACGGGTGTTGCCGGGCCGTTTGCAGATGTTTATTAATGCAGCCCAGGGAGTCCTTAGACAAGGGGCAGGCGGCTGGACATGTAACACAGTTTTTGTTTGCGCTTCAAATCTAATTGTGTGTGTGTTGTGTGTGTGTGTGTGACCAGTAGTCCGTCTTATTCGCTACCTGAAGAAAGGTTGTTCTACTTATTTTTGCAATGCATATGTATGCATGTATCTATGTACACATATAGTTGCGCAAAACACAAGACGACAGATTCTATGCTCCATTATTCACACATAATGTACTTTCATTGTTTACAGATTACGACAGATTTTTCATTGCTTTTGGTTGTTGTTCTAATTTGGTATAGTTGTCGACCAGGCAGCCTAATTGCAACGCCTAAACTATAAAAGGTTCAGATAATACAACTAAACTTAACCCAACTACATATACATTTTATAATATAATATATAATTAGAATCTACTTTAATCAATTGGTAAAGAATGCTTGTCGTACATATTTGTATATATTTAATGTATGCTATTGTCCATTTGTCATTAGGTTATGCAGGAATAGGCCAGAAAATTGAAACATTATTGAATGCTAAAAGTGCTAGTAAGAAAAAAGAGAATATTTTTACATTTAAATTCAATTTCCAAACATATAAATTTACTCGCTGATCTGGCAATACTTAACATACAGCGCTGCCACTTCTTGTGTGCATAACAGTGCGTTAACAGAATCATGTTAAAACTACTCCGAATGTTATATCGCATATAAAATATTTAATTTACAATTAGTAGCATAATTTTAATTAAAACCATTAAGACTCATTCAAGTATTTCCTGATGTGCAAGAAGCAAAACTTGGATACCCAGCTTCGAAATTACGATTTTATTGCGCTATAAATGACTCGAAAAATATCGGCAACATGCTAATATCGATAGTAAATGTTAAGTATCGAAAAATTGAACGAATAAACGAGCTCGCTTATAATTGACCGGGAAAAAATCAAATAGCAATAGCTCTTTGGCCGTGCATCAAGCATAATTTCGGGACTGGCACACGGTGACGGATCTAAAGCACGGTGCAAGCAAACGAGCAAAGCAAATCGAGATTGGTGTGTTAGCATGAGCATAGTTTTATATGTAAATTAAATTCAAGTGCCGCAAAAGAGAAGAAAAAAATGTTGTAAAAATTAAAAGTCAACTGTATTATAATATATCGTATGCGTCGTGAATGTTGAATGTAATTTGTGCTTCAAATATTTATGATAAATTTTGCTTGTGTGTAAATGTGTTCGACTTTGAGCATTTGTACTAACGCACACATATGCGTTTATGCTAGTGTGAGTAAAAACCGAAACTCAAGCGACTCAACAAACGACGACGACGATTCGAAGCCGCCGACGCAGCAGCTGAGCTAAAGAAACGAAATTACATACACACTTGCGTACATAAAGTAAAGAGAAGCGCAGATAAAGCCACCATTTTTTTAGTGACGAAGAAGAGAGCTAGGCGTAAAGCAAAGCACTCTGCGCCTTTGGATACAAATAAAGGCATTTAAATAATTATTTTGTGGCAAGCATAACCAATAATATGGCAAGCTTTCAAATACATCGTGATAACTGTGAAAAGGAGAATCCCGGCATGCTGAATCTAAAGGAAAAGGGAGCCGTTGCAAAGCAGCCACTCGCTGTAATTGGTGGCAAGGAGAAGGCTCTGGCACCGCGCGCCAATTTAGTTGTGCTGAATACCAACAACAACCATGGCAATGTGCCGCGCGGCAACCCCGCACCCCCTGGCAAAGTGGTAAGGTTCCATCACATTTCACATCCTAATTTTGTTACGTATATATATGCATGTATGTATGCATGTATGTATGTATGTTGGGCACTCCAATGCAGCTGCCTCGTTCAGCTTTGCTGGTGGTGGTGGTAGTGCGATCACTAGACAGAACGGTGGTGGTTTTTTTTTTCTGTCTGTCTGTCTGCCTGTGTCTGTTTCCTTGTTGCTATCTCGCTTTGCAGTCTTTCACATCGAAAGGCGCCCTAAAATGTTGCATTTGACAATTATATAAGTTGTTACATATTATGTTAAGTATATAAATGCATCAGCTTTTTTTTTTTTTTGCCTGGTTGCGATTGCGCGCCTAATCAGCAAAACTAACCTAGAAATGCGCAATGCAAAAGTGAATCTTGCGCGCGATTTTTCATACGAGAGGCACAGTCTAGCAGAATAAAGCGAAAATGGAAAGGGCTATTAAAGCAAACAGGCAAAACAGGCGGAGATGTGCATTGAAATGCAATTACAGCACCTAGACGCACACACAAGCACAGCGTGCGCTTGTGTGCGTGTGCGTGTGCATGTGCATGTGTGTGTAAGAGAGAAGGAGAAAGAAATGTTAGCAGGCAGGGAAGCCAGTAAAAGGCGCGCAGAGTAAAACAAAAACAACAAAAGCGAACAACGACTGCGCGCAGCGCACGTAACAGGATCTTTCCCAGCAGGGCAAAAATTATAGAGCGAGACAGCAACTAACGTTCGCTATGCGACCTCCCCTTCTAACACACACACACGCACACACACATATGCTCTCACACCGAGAGTCCATGTTGTAATTGCGTTACTTTTGCCTTTATTTTTTGTTTTATATGTATTTACATTTCGCAGGGCTTTCGAGAAATTGCTAAGCTAAAGGTGGACGAAAACATTGGCTATGGCGGCGCCAAGAAATCGAACGTTGTGCCCGTTGTGGAGCAATTCAAGACATTCTCCGTTTACGAGGACAATGTCGATACACAGGCACAAGCCCAGGCCAACGTTGCCGACAAGGAGAATATACAATGTGCTGGCGCCCAGAAGCTGTAAGTGATGTCTGAGCACAAGAAACCGTCTGAAACGCCTAAATTGTAATCGCTATAACCCTGCTTTAGCGAACTGGTGCACCAGGAGTTTGCCTTACAGCAATCGTACGATCTGGATGGCACGCCCATGTCCGTCACCGATGTGCTATCGCCCATGTCTGTGGACCGGTCCATGGCGGATGCCAGCAATATCAGCAGCGCCCAGCTAACTGACAGCAGCCATGTCGATGATATGGCTGATCTTAAGAATGCTGCTGATGCCGCTGCAGCCACGGAAAATGCGCTACTGCCGCGCAACGATCGCCAGCGCTTCTTCGAGGTGGTCCAGTATCAGCGCGATATTTTGCAGAATTTCCGCGAGTGCGAGGTAAGTGCAAGACTTCGTTTTGGAATTCCCTAAATACATTTCAATGGAAATAGGAATGCTTTGAAAATTAGAAGCGTTTCATATCAGAGGCCGGGCCTCACATTTTGGGTTGCTTGCTTCCGGTTCATGTCGACAACAACGTGAGCACGTGAACTTCTCATCTTTAATATTTGAAAATAATTAACATGAGATTCGATACTAATTTCCCTTGCGAGTCGTTTCTAACCCGATCTCAGTTTTAGTGTGTGCCTTGTCACGCGCTTGAGCAAAGTTAGTTTTCCCCATTTAGCTCCTAGGGATCTGGGTGTACTAGCTATCATAAAAACACACACACGCACACACACTCGCACACAAATGTGCTCACAGTAATTGAACCCGAGCCGCACCCTCGTGGAAATGATGTCTTTGCGCGTCGCTGCTTTTCTTTTCCTTTATTGTTTAGTTGTCTGCATCGCCGGTTTTGTCTCTTGTGTGAAGCACCCGGGGTTCTATCTCAGCGCCATTTACATTCCTTTTTGAAGTGCCCTTTGAGCTGTAAGCGCATGTCAAAGGAGTTTGACTAGTTCAGGTTTTGAAGCCTTTTCTTCCAGCATGGGCTAACTTAAAAGTTACTTTGTTGGTCGACAATCATTGCTATTGGGATTCTGCTTTTAAACAAAACTCTCAACTTTTAATTTAAGCTTTATTAACTCTTTTTTTTTTTGTTGGTTTTGACTGCAATTCGTTGGCTGCTGAGCTCGTGTGTGGAACTGTGCCGGCAGCCGAGTTCAGATGCTGCTGAAACAATTCCACACAGAGCTCAGGAAAAACGATGAACTGATTGAACTGAATGTGATGATTGTGGCTTGGGAGCACTAACGTGAGGTCTTGTTGAACTGATCGTAGAAGTCATCGCTGACCGCATTGCTCAGCTGGACGAGAGCTTCCTTGCGCTGTTGATCCTGCTCGGTGGCGAGCTTGGCATTGGCGCGCACCAGATCGTCCAGCTGCTGCTTGTGTTTGCGATCCATTTCGATCTGCTTGAGCATAAGGGTGCGATCCATGTTCATGGCATACTGCTCCCACTGTTTGTTCATCAGTTCAGCCTCGGTCTTGCGCTGCATCGTGTCGGTCAGCTGCTGTTCCTGGCCCTTGCGGAAGTCCAGCAGCTCGTCGGGTGTCATGCCGCGATACATGAAGGCGATCTTTTTGTTTGGATTGCTGCGCGACTGAGCCACATCCGGATTCTCGGTCAGCATATCGCTGGACAGCATATTGTAGATCTCGGCCATGTCGTCCTCATATGTCTCGCGTTTGGTGCGCATACGGTTCTCCTGCTTCTGCTTGGCCAAATTGATATTGAACTGGCGCACCTTGTGTATGATCTGCTGGCGCATGCGGTGATCCGATTTGGCCATCTCCTCGAGATGCTTGTCACGGCACTGTACGCTCTCCATGTACACATTGTCGGCCTTGCGGCGTGCCTCCTCCGCCTGCTTGCGTTCCATAACCTGCTGATCGAGCCAAGCGCGCTGTTGCTCGCGCTGCCTTACCTGGCGATCGGTCCTATGCAAATCTTCGCCGCTGAAGATTTGTGCACTAGAAATGCCAAGCGATGTGTCATCGTCGGCAATGCGAGCCGGCTTCGATTTCTTCAGAAAGTTCGGATCGTTGAGATCGAACTCGCGACGCTGATCCCGACGCTGATAACGGCAGCGATAATAGTTGAGATCCGAGTCCACAATGCGTTTCTCCTTTTCCAGTTCCTTTTCCTTGGCCGTGATCAGGCGTTTCTGCAACTGCTCCTGCTCCTCATAGCGCTTATCACATTCCAGCTTCTCACTGTTCTGCTTCTTTTTCTCCAAAATCTGGCGCTCCAGCGTCTCCAAATCGAGCTAAAGATTGTGCAACGAAGAATGAATGACAGACGCTTGGGACTGCCAAGGTACACTGTACTCACCCCAAAGAGTCGCTGCCTGGCATTGAAGATGCGCTTCTTGCGTTCGTCCTCGTACTGCTCCCGCTTTTGCAGCTTGACCGCCTCGCTGAGGTCATCCTTGGTGCACAATGGCATTTTAAGCGTCATCTTGTCCACTTAAAACTTACTTTTATCTAGAAAATATATATATACACCTATGCACGTTATCCGTTTGTTTCAGTGTACAAGTATTTCACTTTTTGATACTCAAACCGGATTTGAGCTTTGAGTTTGTTTGCTCGGTTGCCGGGTCGATTGTTGTTTGGTTCCCTGTTTGCTTGTTTATGGCCTAACAACCCCAACAACAACTCGGAAGACATAAACTTAAATATATAATATGGCATAATATTTAACTACTTAAAGCATGGTAATCCAGAGCTGAATGGGCTTAGGAATAAGGAATTATCAGAAATGTATGCACAAAATTGAGAATACTTTCTCCATTTCCCCAATTTCAACAATTTTCTGTATTGACCATTTGCGATGGCGCTTGGCGTGTCCAATAATCGTTAAACTGCCCATTAAATAAACACCTAATGTACATCGTGTTCGTATTGCCGCTTTTGGCTACGATTTGTGGGATGGGAGCGGCGTATCTCTAAAATTAATATGTGGCTCACGTACTGCAAAATAACCAATAAACAAATAAAAATTGGTAAATTCGATTGCGCACAAATGATAGCTGAGGTTCGCCGCGAACAAGCAAAGTTTTCAAGTCTCACGTGTAGTCAAAAAGTTGAAGCAACTCCGAATACAAGTTGTTTGAATAGCGGAGGAGACGAGAGAAGACAAGGCAAATAGTTCAAAGAAGTGTTAAGATAAATATGTAATTAAATGAGTAAATTTGTAAAGGTATTTTGTGATCTGACAGCAAGCTTTCGACTATGAGATACCGTCTACGTGGGTCTCAATTACCCTATTGAACATTTTGTGCCAAACATCTTGAATACATGAAGTTCAACATAGGTATTAGGCGGTAGGGAGCAATTCTCAATGACTCGTTAATTCTTTCCATAAGTAGAGCCTTTCTATGCGATTTTCATAAATTCTTGCTATGCTTACACATTGCATATTTAGCATATTTTTGTTAACCCTTCCTATTATATTCATTGGCAGAAAAAGCATCGCCCAAAAGCGCAATACATGCGTCGTCAAACTGACATCAATCACTCGATGCGCACCATTCTGGTTGATTGGCTGGTCGAAGTCGCCGAGGAATACAAACTGGACACGGAGACTCTGTACTTATCAGTCTCATATTTGGATCGCTTCCTCAGCCAGATGTCGGTGAAGCGCTCCAAGCTGCAATTGGTTGGCACGGCAGCCATGTACATTGCTTCGTAAGTAGCCCCTTTCAAAATCGAGTTTCAGTTGTTTAGCGTCAAGCTTCATTTATGCATTTTGTTTTTTGCACACAGCAAATATGAGGAGATCTACCCACCAGATGTTGGCGAGTTTGTCTTTCTCACTGACGACAGCTATACAAAGGCCCAAGTGTTGCGCATGGAGAATGTGTTTCTAAAAATTCTATCCTTCAACTTGTGCACACCAACACCCTACGTCTTCATCAACACCTATGCCGTGCTGTGCGATATGCCCGAGAAGCTGAAGTACATGACATTGGTAGGTGATCTTTTGGATGCTAACCAGTTAGTTGATTTGAGCAATAGCTGATTTGCTTTTTGCGATTTGCAGTACATTTGTGAGCTGTCCCTGTTGGAGGGAGAATCTTATATGCAATATTTGCCCTCGCTCATTTCGTCTGCTTCGCTTGCATTTGCACGTCACATTCTTGGTATGCCGATGTGGACGGCGCAGCTGGAGGAGATTACCACGTACACACTGGAACAATTGAAGCATATAGTTGTGGCGCTGTGCAAGACGCACAAGTCAGCCAGAGAGCTAAGCACGCAGGCTATAAGGGAAAAGTACAATAGGGACAAGTAAGTCGTGCAATATATTAGCTGTGTTCTGCGCCTAAATATCTTTCATTTTGTTTTTAGATTCAAGAAAGTGGCCACAATTGAGCCCATTGAACTGAGCGAATCTGAAATCGATATTATTGTACAGGATTATAAGGCGGCCAGCAAGTGCCAGACAGAGCAGCAGCCGGGCAACAATATGAAACCTAAAGTCAATTTGTTTTATAAGTTTTAAGTGTTTTTTACATCAGCATCAGCCATGATCAAATTGTATTGTAGTTTAGCGTTTTCCAATGTACACCCTCTAGTAGTTTTATTCGTTGTAAATGTAAGTACGACTGCATTAAGGTTTTACTGCCATGCTGCAAACGCGCACGCTGAATACAACGAGCACTGCCACACCCACACCTACACAATTCGTACACTTGGCAAGCTACTGGACAATTGTATATGCTAACTGGCCATATATGAGATGAGCTAACACAGGAGTGCGATCGATTATACGATCCAGGTTCAAGTCCAGGTCCACGGCGAGAGCTTGTCACGCAAAGCGTGCGCAGCAGCAAATCATATCACAAGATAAATCGAATTGAAAAAACCGTAACGAACAATCTTAGGCTACTTACTTATACATTTTAAGTTATTGATTACATTATTTGTTCGATGTCGTATTTTTTATTATTTCTTACGTATTTATATAACCAGATATGTATGTAAACAATGTCTTTCAAATATGCATACTAATAATCGGCCGAAGCTAAAGACCATAAAATATTTATGCTACACATATGCTAACTAAATAGGCTATAAATGTTCTGTGAACCCCGCAACAAATATGAGAAATATATCAGTTTTCATGAAATATTAATTACATTTCGCTCTCTAAATAATAGTTTTTATATATATTATCTATAAACATTTACATATAATGACGCTTACTACACGTTTAGTTCAACTGTGTTTTTATTATAAATCAATGTCTAAGGACAGCAAACCTTATATGTAATTCCCTTCTGGACTTTTTTTTACATATTATACAACTATTGTCAAATATTGCAAACCATCAATAAAATTAAATGGCAGACCACAAAAGAGACAAATCTGAACCAAAAATCCATCAATAACAGGATTGTCAACTGTTTATTTTAAAAAATAATATTTATAAATGTTGATTTGTTGCAATGTGATCCATTGATTTCGATCATTATGTAAGAAATAAACCTAGCTATATAGTATTCAGTTGCAGTCCTCGGTACTTGATGTCCAAGTTCCCCAGTCATTCGAGGATCGGACTTAAATCTGTGCGCGGTTCGGTTTGGTCATTTATTTGATCTCTCATGTACACATATATAAATTATAGATTATCTGTATATATTGTAAGGTTTTTATTGATGATGATGCTTTTCCTGGAAGTGTCCATCTATATATATTTCTATTACCATGTTTTACGGCCTCTCTGAGTTAAACAAGTTCACGTTTTACACCACATTTCGTGAATGTATAACAAATGGCCCAAATTAACATACTCGTGCTGAATGATTGCAAATGAATTAACGATTCGATTGAAACGAATAATTATTGCAAATCAGAGTTCAACGACAACAAATTGTTTATGTAAATCCGATAACGAAATTGAAAGTGATTTGAAAAAATGAAAAACAATGTGAAGTATTGAGTTGTTGCATCTGTTCAATTTGATCCAAATTCCCATGAAGCCGGACACCCTCACACAAACACAATTATAACTGCAGAGGCTACTCAGTATTATATACTTATTTAGTTCTTGGGTCAGTTCCAAATGCAACTCTTGAGCGTAGAGCAATAGACAAACAAAAATGCTAGTTTTGTCTCCAATGAATGGGAGTTGCCAAATGTGCAGTTATGGCGCCTATATAGATCGGTGATCGGTCCTAATACGCAAAACGTGTGTCCGGATGATAGCCAAGCTTGTCTAACGCTGGATTGCAGGCAAAGTTAATCATGGGCGGTGGTCCGCACAGCAGTACAATCGTCTCATCGTTGGCCGGCAGCAGATGAGCTCCAATCATTTCATCATTGATAAATCCAACACTGTACGTCCAGCCTGTGTGGGATAAGAAAACGCACAAAAATTAGAAATTGATTAGTTAGAGAACTCAATTACAACTGCGTTTCGACGGCAACCTTTTCCCTGCATTGTGATATGAAATCAAAACTCGCAACTAAATTATACGGATGCTAGCTGGGGGACACTTAATAGCTAAAACGCTGCTCGGAATGATGACCCAGCCGCTCGAGGCCCGGTATACAGGTATAGTTGACCATGGGCGGCGGTCCGCACAGCAGACACAGCGTCTCTGGATCGGGCGGATATAGCTGCTCGCCCATCATCTCATCGTTGATGTGCCCGGTATTGTACAACCAGGCTATGTAGCGTGCGTGCGCCGTGCGGGGCATCCGTTGGAGGGCAGCATGTGGCGAGGAGCAAACACAAAAGTTCTCAACATAATAGATGGCTTTTAGCATTAGCACTACGATTGCTACACTGAATCGATGAGATGATTATGCGAATGAATTCTAATTATGATGTAACATGCATATCTTTGGGTGAGTTTATAAAAGACAAACTAAACTAAAGACTTTCTAAGTTCAATTGTTAAATTATAAGCGAATTCTCCTTTAACAAACAAATGAAAGTTATTTTCTTAATCTTTCTTTCCCTAAACAACTTAGTTTTACAACTAGCAAAAGTTTTCTCAAACATAAGCCTAATTTTTATATTAATTGCATGTTTCTTCTTTCTTTCTAGACTTGAGATAAACTTATGAAAAGTGCAACTGTAAGTCTGTTGGATAGTCCATTGTGATATACATCTAGGCTTAATGTGAACATGATTCTGATTCGATGCGATATTTGGGCGGAACATTGGAAGCCGCAGCTCACCTTCGGCCGCTTTGTCCACGGTGTACCAGACCTTAAACTGATCGGGATGCTTCTTGGCCAGTTCATCCAGTTCCTCACGCAGCAAAATATCCTTTTCGCTCTGCAAAACAAACGCTGTGACTTTAGAAAGTGTGCTGAAAAAACTGCTCAATGGAACTCACCTGGTTGGCGAACAGCAGCGCCAGTTTGGTCTTGTCCTTGTCGCTGCGCTTGAGCACTTCGCGCACCAGCTGCAACATGGGCGTGATGCCAGTGCCGCCGGCTATCATGTTGACACGCTTGGCGGTCACATGTTTGGGTGGATCTTTGCGCAGTTTCTTAATGGAGAAGGTGCCGTTGCCCAGGTACTGCAGGCGACCCGATGGTCCACGGAACGATATCTTCTCGCCCAGCTCCATCTGTTCCAAATGCTGGGTCATTTTGCCACCAGCTGGGAATTTGGGATGCGTATCCTTAAAGTACACCTTCACAACCAAGTCCACATAGCCCACATCCTCGTCAGACGAGATGGGCGTATACGGCCGTATGACAAGCTCGTTGTCAATCGTTGCAATCAGATGTATGTGCTGGCCCACGGGCAGGCCGAGTATATGCTGCTTGGAGGGCAGTCCAAAGCGGAAACGTCGCGTATCATGGCTGAGCACCTCCTTCTCGATCAACGGCAGCTGATACTTATCGTTGGGATCCACAAGTGTGCGCAGTCGCGCGGTCCGGTTCGGCTCACGGCGCGGCTTCGTTGACTTCTTGTTGATGAAATAGTGGACAATCAGGGCGCCGGCAACGACGGCTACGACGCCCACGGCAATCGGAACGAACTGTGAGTATAGAGAAACCCAAAGAGATTTGGATTAAGACGGAGTAATGTAGGATCAACAGATTAATCGTATAGATCATTATACTATTTCTGGACCTTTCGTGGCATTACGTGATTTTCCATTTACTTATTTTGCCCGACAGATGCCTTTGCTGATTAAAGTTCAAAAAGTCGATTGACATCGTTTCGCATACATCATTTGCAAAGTTTTCGTACTACAACTGATTACCACATGTATTAGCACCAATTTATGTTTGGCCAATATGAAATTTGAGCCCGTTATCTTTCTGTGGCTTTGGTGAACTTTAAGCCCTCGCTATGAAGCCACAAAAGCGAGGGCTTCTCTTTAAAGTCAAACATAATTGAGGTTATTTTCATTTGCAAAGCAACCAACTGACATCCATAACGTCTTGGCCGTGACCTTGAAAACGTAGTCCACTATTGCAACATTTCATATTGCACAGGCAGGCGGAGATCCAATGCGCTGCGCATATGTATGCATAATTATCTATGACGTCACGCGCAGATAAACAGAGAGCGCACGCTGTGCCTGAAAGAGAGCGTGGCCAGTGCGTGGCAGCTCTTGCGTTGATTTTCTCTCCGAATATATATTTGTTGGACTTACATCGAAATCTGTCATTTTTCACACACTTGATGGCTTGCTTTATATTATGTATTTTCAATTTAAATTATTCAAATATTCAACTTGACCGACAATTAGAAATAGCGAACGTTTGATCAACCGACAGTCGCCGCGCACAATTTCCAATTGAAATGAAGTCGAAGCCGTGGAGTCAACGCGAGGGCTCGGTGCCGAGTCAGCACGCGTATGCGAACAGTGCGTGTTAGAAGTAAACGATCAAGTAAGGCATAGACAGACGTTTTAGTAGTTCTTTCTATCACCTAATTTGCACTGATTTAGCTAGTAAGTATGCCTCCTATTTGACTGTTATCAGGCTTATGCTAATATATATTTATGGCGAAGACTTTTTATATTTTAAATTTAATTTAAACTCTGTAGCGTGAACGCTAGCGGAATTTTTCTAACGATGATAAGCGAAAAGTTCAGATTGCCTGAGAGCATGACAATAAAGTTTAATGTGAGCGTAGCAGGGTACACATTTAAAGAGAGCTGCTGTCAAAGAGAGTTGTACAAAGGCAGTTGTGCTGGATGAACAGCTGTTATGTCTGTAAGTAAATGAGCCGACCGTGAGGCACATACATACATAAATATTAACCTTTATGCATTGTACAAACTAGAGATGAGCCAAATTGTTATTTTTCAGTCACACTACAGAATTTCATGTTTTCAATTCTGCCAGAATGATGTAATTAATTCCATGGGCGTGACACAAACTTGATATTGCTGTTCATAAGACATATTGAATATAAATGAACATTAAAAGCGTGACGTCATGAACTCAATTTTATAGCGACGTGCAAAGAATGTATGTTTGTTGTTATAAATACCTTTGTGGTATATCCGCATATTTCATTGCATTATTTTGTGGGAGATGCCAAAATGGCAGCCACACATATGCGTACATACAAATGTATATTTTTAAGAATTATGAAATAGCCTAGCCAAATGTGATATGCGTGTGTGATGTGAATGCGGGTATATCAAAACGGGCGTACCAAAAATTATGCAAAAGCTGAGCTGCACAGTTTGTTTCGTAACTTACATTGCTCTCAATTAAACGCGCCATTTCCAAGGGCTGAAGTCGCTGCTAACTGGAAATTTGCCGGTTCTTTGCGACTGTTGGAAAATCAATTAGTGCACTTTTGGATAAATTATATAATTTGTATATTGCAACGATGGAACATCACTCACTGGCACAATCACAGTGGCACACACCGACAGAAGTTTTATTTTAAAACGCAACGCAGGCCCAACACGAATGCGAGCGTGGAGATAGTGAAAGCAATTGTTTTGTTTGACCACGAAACGTTTGCTCTCTTGCACTCTCGCCAAGAATCAGGTACCACTCTCTTTCATTGCTCTGCGAAAGCTCTTTGTTTTGCCAGTTGAAGCGTTAGCTGCAAAAATTTGTATGTATGTCATTACATGGGAATGTAGATTGCTTACAGTTTATGACTGAGACACCTACCGTTTAAGTAAAGTAATGTGCACATAAAGGCTACAAGACTTTGAAATTGGTCAAATTTAAAATAAAACAGCTGCGTTTAGTTAAAAACTTGTTTATGGATTATAATTACATACGCAAAGTGAAGCGTTGCCACCCTGTTGCTAGTAGTATATGCAATGTTAAGCATTGGTGACTGTTAGCGATATACCCATGAGCAACTGTTACAATTAGCGTCACAGCAACCCTGCTAAAAAGTGTATCGATATCTAGGAGGATTATCGCTGCGAATCTCCTCTTTCTTTCGTGAAACGCACATCGCAAGGTGTAGACATGGCGTAAGTGATATTATTGAAAAATCTTTAAAAATTAGATGCATCGTGAATAATTTAAAGAAACTAAAGAAGCATAATGATATATTCTGTGCCGCTATATATGTTCTGTGCAGTATTTTTTGTATGTGGCCATTAGAAACCAGCTTTTTATCCAAGATTGTAATGACCACATGAGTGGACAGAAAAAAAACTTGAAAACGATATGCATCTTGAATATTTTAATGAAAATAACGCACTATATGTCTATATGCTATGCCGCGCTATACGTTTTACATTATATTTATTGTATTTGGCAATCAGAAACCAACTTTTTGGACCAATATCAATGACCACATCAGTTTGGAAATGATTGCAATATTAAAATTAAATTTTGTGCCAAATATGTGACTACTTATGCAAGTTGCAACCATTTGCTCAATTCTTAAACATCTATTTCGCATCTATTTCGTACGACTGAGAAATAATAAACCTAATTTCCAATTACAGGTCGAAAGTGTCCCGTGACACGCTCCTTGAGGGCGTCAGTGGTATTCTGGAGCATTCGCTCACTAAGAAGCGCGGCTTCCTGGAAACGGTGGAACTGCAAATTGGCCTGAAAAATTATGATCCCCAAAAGGACAAGCGTTTCTCCGGCACTGTTAAGTACGTTGGCTAAAATACCTGCGCTGCGAACCATATGATTCCCATTGGGAACTGGCTTCAGCGTTAGGCAGCCGTATTTGTGCTCAAACCACATTACGGCGGACCTGCACTCAGGGTCTTAAAATCAAATTGAGTAGACACCAGCAATGGTGCCGAACCCTTTAGTTAAGACATAATTACAAATGCCTGCTCCTCTGCGAGCTGTGTAAGTTTTCTGAAAATTGCATCGTTCTGTCTTCCAGCTCGAATTTGTATCCGTTCTGCCCGCTAAACATTTGTTTTATGTATTTATCGTGCAGGTTGAAGCACATCCCACGCCCCAAGATGAAGGTGTGCATTCTGGGCGATCAGCAGCATTGCGACGAGGCCAAGGCCAATGGCGTTGAGTTCATGGATGCTGAGGCACTCAAGAAGCTGAACAAGAACAAGAAGCTGGTTAAGAAACTGGCCAAGTCCTATGACGCCTTTCTGGCCTCCGAATCGCTGATCAAGCAAATTCCACGTCTGTTGGGCCCCGGCCTAAACAAGGCTGGCAAGTTCCCTGGTCTTTTGTCGCATCAGGAGTCGATGATGGGCAAAATCGAGGAGGTCAAGTCCACCATCAAGTTCCAGATGAAGAAGGTTCTGTGTCTGTCCGTTGCCGTTGGACACGTCGGCATGAAACAGGACGAGCTCTCCCAAAACGTCAGCTTGTCGATCAATTTCTTGGTCTCGCTGCTGAAGAAGAACTGGCAGAACGTTCGCTCCCTGCACATCAAGTCATCGATGGGCCCACCCCAGCGTCTGTACTAAATTGTTGTGTGCTCGCTGCAAACTAATATTTTATATAAATAAAATTTACATTTCATCAATGTACGTAACTGGATTGCATTTGACAATCAATTTGTTAATTTAAATAGTTATACTTTATGCCAGTTACACGAAACATGTTTAAATTAGTTTGTTAATCATTTCTTTAATTGCAAAAATTCGCATGTTAATTTGTTGTGGACAGTTCTGAATTGTTTATGATATATTTACTATCCAAAACAATTTAGAGCTGTGCTCCAAGACAAAACATCTGAACGAACTATTGAGTCAAAATCTAAGGTTTAAATCCAACATAATTATTTTTGTTAATTTAAAATTTATTGGCAGTTAACAATATTCCACACTGTGAAAATTCAGTTTAATAGTTTGCAGAGCATAATTTAGCTTTAAAATGTATCATTTGATCTTCGTCTGGAGCCCCTTAACATGTAGACCCTTAACCCTTACTATAGTCTTAACCTCTTGCCAATGGCATTTATATTTCCGTGGAGCTGATGGTACGCGCCAGAAAATCGCGTACGTCTAAGGCATGCTCAATATCCGCGCTGGTGTCCGGCTTTGGATCGACTGGCGCTGACTTGAACCTGGACACGTCCACCGTGTTGCCCCACTCAAGCATATGGGGCTCACTCAGTTCCTCGAGCAGATTGTGCAGGACAGTGGCCGCTGTGATAATGCAGGATGCGGTCTGGAAGCTGATGTCCAGCGGCTGGCTGAGAAAGCGCCAGCGTGACATTAAGCGATGCATGGCGCAGTCGCTCAGCTCCTGCAGATGATCGGCCACCTCGTTGAAGTCGTACTCGTGCGGCGCCGCCGGCTCCGAATAGCGCTGCAGCAGCCATGGACGCAGTGGATAGTTTTGGTTAGCGGGCGCCAGCACAAAGGCGGGCACCGAACGGTTGTTGATGCAGCGCGGCGGCAGCTGTGTGAGTGGGTTTGGTGCATCCGCAAACATGGGTGGCAGCGGCGCCTTGGTGCCATTGGCGTTGCCCAGGCGCAGCTCACGGAAGAGCATGCGATCATCCAAAAGGAATTCCATGCGCAGTGCGGCACTCGAGCCAGCGATTTGTTTGCTCGGGCCGCGGAGCGGAATGCAGCAAACGCCCAGGACACCGACCAGCGCTGCGGGCATGTTACATTCCCGCTGGAAACCGGCCACCACATTCGCACAGTCCGCCTCGCTCTGGGGCAGCAGGCGCAACGCCTTGCCCAAGCTGGTCATGACGGCATTGCAGAACACTTTCAGGCATTTTATGGTGTGTGCGCGCGGCAGCGCAAACTTTTCCGAAATAATGGAGATACGCTCGCCGCTAGCCAGAAAATAGAGGGCAAGGCCGACGCACTTGTCCGGCGCAATGTCATCCGCAGACGACGCTAGTTCTGGCACCGTGCGCAGGCTGGATGACAATTGGCTGCAGAGCGACTGAAATGTGCTGCGGGTCACATGGAAGCTGTCCAGGAACTGCTCATCGCTGTACTGGGGTATTGTGTGCTCCCAAAATAGCGTTGGGCCAACTGTTTCAGTTGCCAGCACGGATTCGGCAGCGGTCGTGTTAATGTTGTCCATGACAGTCTCCATATCCTCGATGTGCTGCAGCTGGGCGTGCTTCATCCGGAGCATGACGAACATCTGCACATAATTCGACTGCAGCTCGATCATTTGCTGCATGAAAAGGGAGCGCAACTGTTTGAGGCGACGTCTGGTGCGCTGCTGTTGACGCCTGCGGCTCACGATCACCGTCTGTTGCAGGTGCCGCACGTGCAGTCGGATTAGCGTGGCAATTTTCCGTTTGCGCTGCTGCAATGCGCTGCCCTCGCACTTCGGAGCGCTTCTAAGTAATTTGGACAAGGCATCGTTTAAATCGTTGTTTATTCTTTGCAGCTCTTCGTCCATTTTTTCAGCACGGCAGTGTGACCGCGCACGGTAAATACAAAAATAAGCATTTCAAAGTGTATTCGATAGGCAAATGGCCAATGTTCGAACATCGCAGTGTTATCGAAAAGTGTGTACACAATTTTTTTTAAAAATCGAATTCGTTTTTGCAATCCCGGCAACGGCACATTCTCAACCCAAAATGAACACAACAAGCTCGGTTCACAATTTCGAAAGAAACTTTGCACCTGGCGGCACATCAACACCAGTGCATAATACGCTATCGCCATTGCACAAGGCTCTAATTGAATATGCAACAACTTCAGCCCGTTTGCTGTTTATACAGGATCCCGCCGTGTACGCGGACTTTCATTCCACTAACGAAGCATTCAACGAATATACATCAATGGAACTCTGCGAAATCATGTTAAACTCCGTTTTGCCCAAGGTGCACACATACCCGTTGACGGCAACAATTAAGAAGCGCCTGAAATTAGTGCAGCTTCATCCGTGCTTCCAACGAACTCCACAAGGCTATCAATACACGCCACAGCGTCTGGGCGCGCATTTTGTGCTGCAGCCCAAATGTGATTTTAGTCTGCCGGAGCAGCTACCAAAATTACTGGTGAGTCGAAATGAGCTACTTGTTACTCGAATTAATATAATTCATTTGCTGTTTCGTTTCAAGCGGTCACAGGGCAATCGGCCGGGTCGGGCGTCATCTCAGAAACATGCGCTCACCGGCTCACGAGATGCTTCCCACACAATGTTGGTTGGAAGCGATAAAGTGCCGCATGTTGGGCGCAAGTTCCAGCTAAGCTACGATATTGCTGCACTGCTCTCGCCCATGCTTTCCAGTCATTCGGAGTACTCTGTTAGCGAACTGCACAATGTGACCAAAATAAAAAAACGTTTGCAGAGCGCCAAGCATAGCTTCCAGGCGACGGGCAACATGTCGCCCTACCGCAACAATCTGCAGCAGCTGATCAACAACATGCTCATGTTCGACATGGTGAAAAAGCGTCTGTACAGAAGTTTGTTTAACCTGTGAGTCGGATGTGGACATGCCTTAAAGATACATGAAGTATGTAAAATCTTTAAAATTTTATAAAAGTAGCGTATTTTTGTGTGAAAAGTTGTTGGCAGAAGACCGTTAATTGTACATTTGCACATTTATTTTTGATTTTAATCAAATTTTCAATTTATTTCGCACATTTATACATTTAAAAGACGTTTTGCCAAATCTTAGAATGAGCCAAATCGGTTAACTTCTTTAATAGAGAAGTTTTTTAGTTAACATTTTGCCATTTAACTTTTTTTTTCAAAATATATGTAGAGTCTTCAGCTAACACTTGCGGGCAGTGTTAATTAAAATAGTATCTGATCAACGATCGTATCTTTGCTTTCAAAGATCAATTTACGATCATCGCGCTGGCTGCAGGTCAGCAGGCAGACGAACCAGTCGCCTTCGGCGATCGAGCCGCTCTCTTTGATTTAAGAGAGTTGGGTGCACAGCACACTCGAAGCGCCAGCTTCAGTGTGTGCGGCTGCGGTGTTCGATTTCGGTGTTGCCTTTCAGTCGCAAACTACGTGTTACCAAAGAAAGACGTGTTCGCTGTTGGCGCTCGTTTCGTTCGTTTTCGTTTCGGTCTCAAATAAGCCAACTCTGGCGCGTTGTTGGGCGACGGTTGTGGTAGAGTGAAGCGGGACGCGAAAAAGTGCGGCGAGTGGCTCGTAATGTCTGCCAAAGCGTAACGAAAATTTTCAAGACAACAAAACCAACAACAAATACAAGATCAACAACAGCAACAACAACAACAACAACAACAACAAGCAAATATCATTAATGGCATTTTCTGTTTCGAGTTTGTGTGTGAAAAGTGCACAAAAGTAGCCGAAGAGAGCAGCCAGAGTCAAGGCAAAATAGAAATGTAAAAGGTAAACGAAAAGTTTCTGCAACATCTAAAATTATATTATACAAATTAATTGCAAAAATTGTTGGCGCGCGCACCTAAACAAAAAAAAAAAACAAACCAACAAAGTGCTCAAAATGTATGAGAAAATTTATACTTAAAAAATATGGTAAATTGCCATTTACTCACCTGCACTTGTGTAGCTGTGTGCGTGCACGTATGTGTGTGTGTGTATGTGTCGAGTGCCTGTGTGTGTGAGTGTGTGCTGTTGCATAGCTGTAAACCAGTTGCCAATTGCAACGTGTTTTCTGTGTTTTCCAAAGAGACGAACATAAAAAACTACAATAAACCTAAAACTTGGTTATACGAAACAATTTTGAAAGTAAAGAAAAGCTGCAAAAAAGCTCTGAACAGATTTGGAATTTTCCAAAATAAATAATTAATTAATTGGATATTAAATATTTGACGGTTTTATCGAGCATATTTAACATCATGAAAAGATTCTACTTAATGAATATTTTATATTTTTTCGTGTACTTTTTGCTGCTTTGTTGGCCAAATCTTGTGTCGCATATAAACACGTCCAAAACGCGTGTGAAGACAAAAATCATCGCGAAGAATAAATCAAAACAGCAAAAAACTCAAAAAAAAAAAATAAAACTATGCTGAGAGAGAGCGAGAGAGGGAGAGGGAGAGGGAGAGAGAGTATAAAAGATTAAGCTGTGATTTTTTTTTCGCTATTTGGGTTTTTTTTTCCGTTTTTGGCTAATAAAGCAATTTGATATCGTAAATAAGTATGAGAGCTGCACACACGCATACCAGCAATGAGATCATTGAAAGAGCGAGAGAGTTCTGTGCGCACGCTGAGAGCGCGAGAGAGCGCGCTAAGCCGTGCTCTGCTGGAGCGTAAAAGGCCAGGCCGTGTGTTGTTGTCCAAAAATAATAACAGCAATCAAAATGCGTTTACATTTCAAAATATTGCACGGCGACAACAAAAACAAGCGGAGGAGCACATGCACACGTATACGTTTTGTATATGTGTGTGTGCGTGTGCTTATATCGTATTTGGGCCTCACTCAATCGTGCGGAGGTGTAAAAGCAAACGAACCAAAAGGCGCGCGTCACCTTATCTTTTTTATTTTTTATGTTTAACTAATTTTTTTTTTTTTTTTTGCAACAAACAAAACAACAAAAACTATGAGCAGCTGAGCGAGCAAAGATAGCAGAGCTTGTTTTTTTTGATTTGTTCAAATTCAAAATGCTAATGAATTAGTTTCACAAAAGATCGCCCCAAACATGGCAGCACACAGTATAAGAACATACATATACATATGTACATGCTTTACTCATAATAAAGAGCTTCTGTGGCCGTGATCTGGCTCACAGTCCGTTTCCGAGTCTGTTCAGTTAAACTCCAAGGCAATCGAGGTTGATGATGGCTTGTTCAGGCAAAAAGAATTGCCCTTAATGATCTAGCTACTGACTATTTAAATAAGAGAGGAGTTTGTAATATTAACATACTCACGTACCATAGCTAATATCTGCTCATCAGCAAATGTACTTAAATTTACCAGCAAATCCATATAGATTGACTAGCGATCAGCAGCTCTCAAAATTACGATATTCGCTTAGCCGCTCTCATGCTGCTGCTGAAAGCGCTTAAGCGCTCTCTTATGCTGCTAAGTTTCGCTTATGCTCTGTAAGCCACAAAAACTCACCTGATCTCTCGAACATTTTTTACGATATTCGTCGCAACACTGAACTCTACCTGTTCGCTCTTTTGTTTTGCTTGTGCATTGTCTGCACAAACATTTTTCGCATTTTTCCATGTGTCCCATTCAGCTATTCAGAACACATACCAATGCAACAACAACAACAACAACAATAAAGAAACACGTGAAACTGGCCAAAAACAAGAGAAGATGGGCAAAAAACAACAAAAAAAAAAAAACTTTCTTAAGCGTTGTGCGTTTGCTAAAACATTTCGACAAGCCCCGCTATCTTTTTGGAACTACGTACGACGGGCACTACGATTACGAGTGGTAAAAAAGAAATTCATCATTTGGACGACTGACAAGCGTCGCCGTTGACGCGTGATCGTAGTCGCACAGTGGTGCAAGAGCAGCCAAATTAAATGTTAAAGTCCAAGTTGATATTTTTGTAGAAGAGAACATAAATGCGATATTCTATATATTTATGTATATTCTATAAATATTCTTTTAATTGTATTGGAAGCATAAATATGTTTTTTTTTTTATCGGTTTTTATTTGCTGTCTGTCTTAAGACAAAATAAAAATTGCTTAAAAAATAAAGTAGGATATAATAAAACTATAGGATCGTTTGAGCTGCAATGAGTTACAACAATATTTATAACATTATAGTTTGCTTCTTATAAAACTTAATCAATTTTAAGTAAAGCCCATATCCTTGGTGAACAGCTGTCAAAGTAAACGAGTCTTTCGGGCTTCAGTAGTCAAGCGCGGATCCGAGTTGGAAGTCTAGAATAATAGTCAAGTATATTATGAAAAAGTAATTAAAAAATGGTTCAATGTTGTAAATTCTTATCATGACATAGATATAATTTAAATGATACCAAACAAACATTTTAAAAGTTATAATTTGGCTGGCTTCATGACTTCTCTGAGAATGAGCTTGCTGATAAAAATTAGAAGTAGATTTAGTACTTAAAAAATGTTTAATTTGGCAAATTAACATAAATGCAATAATCAGCTTGTTGGTTCCACTGTGCGCAGTAGCCGCTGCTGCCGCTGCTGCCACTGTTGCTGCTGCTGCTGCTGTTGCTGCTTCTTCTTGCTGTCGCCTAATATCGTAAATCAGCTGCTCATCACGTTCATCAGCTCAGCGCTGCGCAGCGCAGCGCAGCGAGTACGCTTAGTTGTTACCGTGGGGCGCTAAGTGTCGCTTGGGTCTGCGTCTGGGATCCGGTGTGGGGCACGGAGCACGGGGCACGGGGCCTTTGGACTATGGGCTATGTACGCATTTTATTGGCCATTTCGTTGGCACGGTCGAAACGTTGCGCACTTTCCATTGAGCGTATAGAAAACGCGTTAAGTTTGTGCGAGTTTTAAATGCTTTTCACTGCTTTTACCAATTTCTTGTTGTTTGTTTTTTCTTCTCCGTCGCTTTCTTACAGTTGGCTTACAAAAGAAAACTTGAAATTTGGTGCGTCTCATCGAACCTATCATTGCAAGTTTTGGCCGCAACAACATCCGCTTGCCAGCAGCCAGCGCCAGTTGCACAATATTCCAGCCAACGTCCATCTATATCAGCGTCTGTATCTGTATCTGTATCTGTATCTGTGTGTCGTCGTTAGATGTTAGCTGTGGCAAGTCAAAATGCGCGTATCCAGCAGATACCAGTCATCATCATCAGCAACAACAGAAGCAGCAGCAATTGCATCTTACCAAAGTCTAAGCACGCACATTGAAGTAATTGCAGCCGCTGCCCGACTTCGTGTGCTCGTATAATGAGTCAAAATGTGGCCGACAGTCTGGTGAGTACCAAAGTAGTTACTATATATAAACTATATACATACAACAATATGTACCAACCCCGGGAAATACCATAGAAATTGTATCGAAAATGCATAGAAAGTAAGTCGAAAGTAGCTCTAAGGTCAGCTATTTTTTTATTTTAAGCTCTAGAAAGGCAGGCTCTCGGCTCCATATGCGACCTATTTGCTTTGCTAATTGCTTTGGCAAATATTTAATATGGCCTATAAATAGTCGCTGTCTGGCCGAATATGAAGCTCCAAAAGCTTTGCTAAATAATTAAATACATATTTAGTTTATACTGTGACATCTTGTGCATCATCTTTTCAAGTTACGAATAGAATTCACTTGAAATGTTTACCATTTATTGATTCACATTTAAAGAATAATCTATAATATGTCAATTGTTAGGGTGTACATTATTTTTTATTTTGTTTCCCTTGCTTTAAATGAAATCCACCTTCCTTCTCAGCTCAATTCGATGGCTTATTCATAAAAATGTGTTTCATGAAAATCGCATAGAAAGGCGATTATTGAGTGCAGCATCTTATTGAATGAGATAGCGTCTCTCTCTCTCTCTCTTTTTTCTATGAATGAATTCAAGCTTACAAAGTTAGTCCAAGTGTAACCGTCGATTGTTTTTTTACAGTGCCGTCTTGGCTTTTGTCGTTGCATCTTTAATTGATCAATTGACTTGTGTTGTGGTCCCTTTTATGCCCAGCAAATAGAAAACAAATCGTTTGATTGTCGTTTACGTAATAGA